GTGTCTGTTGGTGTGTGCCTGTTGGTGTGTCTGTTGGTGTGTGTGTCTGTGTCTGTTGGTGTGTGTGTGTCTGTTGGTGTGTGTGTGTGTCGGTGTCTGTTGGTGTGTCTGTTGGTGTGTGTGTCTGTTGGTGTGTGTGTGTCTGTTGGTGTGTGTGTCTGTGTCTGTTGGTGTGTCTGTTGGTGTCTGTGTCTGTTGTTGTGTGTCTGTGTCTGTTGGTGTGTGTGTCTTTGTCTGTGTGTGTCTGTGTGTGTGTGTGTCTGTTAGAGTGAGTGTGTGTCTGTTAGTGAGTGTGTGTGTGTCTGTTAGTGAGTGTGTGTGTGTCTGTTAGTGTGTGTGTGTGTCTGTTAGCGTGTGTATGCGTATCTGTCAGTGAATGTGTGTGTGTGTGTGTATTTAGAAGGTGGGGCGGGGCTGGCAGCCTAGGGCAGCACAAAACCAGGATACACCACTGGTTAGAGGGAATGGGCACTTGCATCATTATTGCGTTCACTTTGCACATATGCATTGCACCAGGCAAGACATCAGCTACTTAAAGAGATTCTATAGTTCCAGGAAAACAAAGCCGTTTTCCTGGCACTATATGCTTCTACAGTGCCCCCGTCCCTTGCACCCCCCTCCCGTGGCGCTGAGGGATTAAAACTGCTTTAGTCACTTCCCTGAATCCAGAACCGATGTCCCTCTGCGCTGGGTCCGGCTCTGTCCACACTCCTCCCCCACGGACGTCAGCCAGCAGCCCGCTGACTGTGATTTTCCCTTTAAGTTTAAGATGATGCTGATTATGACAATGCCTAACAGGGAGGGGGCTGTGGACATCAAACGCATCAGTTCATAATCTCTCCTCAGGACCATAAACCTTCCAATTAACTAAATACACTAGCTTGCCTCTAGAAATCAGTAAATTAATAATATGTTGAATAATATTCCCATGGGCATCTACAAGTACAGGAGATTAGGAGTGGAATTAGAGAATCTGTTGCATGTCACTGCAATGTCGCTGGCGCGTCGTTCTGTGTCCTCGTATTTTGACACAGATTTCTGGAATGTTGTTTAACTCCCGATTTAGATGCGGATGCATCCGTAATAGAATAGAATTACCAGACTTAGACGCAGATACATCAATATTGAAAGTAGACATTAGAATGAGTCAGAGCATTGCCAGGGTAACGTGATGGGCTCTAACTCATTCTGTTAACACTTGAATCGTGAAGTAGTGCTTAAAGTACTTCCGGCAGTAATTTAATTTTTATTTAAAATATTGCCGAACCGGAAATATACAAAATAATGATTTTTACAGGTGAGGGTGCCGTCTCAGCAGTTGGAACTCCATGGCCCGATAATTAGACTACTGGGGCCAAGTGAAATATTTAACTCATTTTTGTTGTCCAGTTGTTAAAGTGAAAACCCAGCCTATCCTCCCACATGCATCAATGTTTATGATGCTGAATTCAAATACAATATCGTGGATCAGAGAAACAGAGCATAAAATATATTTGTATGTGTTTGGTAAGTAAAGATACTAATATTGAAAAACAGTAATACTATAATTTATATAATAGAATTCAAGCTAACACAGCTTTTAACATCAAGTACCCAGTACACATTTTTAAAGATTATTTCACAATATTGTCATGTACTTAAAGATTATTTATTCAGCATGAACAGCACAGCAGAAGTGTGATCATTACTGTGATCCAAATGCTGAGTTTGTTTGGATGCCTAGCAAATGCATACATACCCACCCTAGATTCCATGTTTAATTTTTTTTAGTCTTTAAAAAGTACAATACAAGATAGGAATACAATTTAAAATATACAATTGCTAGCGATATGACTAACAGTTCATATAGATAATACAGAATTTTCTGTTACTTGCAAAAATGGGGGTTAAAAACTTGCAAAAAATGGAGTCACATTTTTGTGACATTGATTCCCATTTAAATGTGTATATATATATATATATACACACAACAATAATATATTTACGTTTACCACCAATAAATGACGGTATTCTCAGTCTTGAATCAAAATCATAGCCCCAAATAGCTGCAAGTTTGTGCTTTCTAATAGAGAAAATATAACCGCTTACTTCTAACAGATAATAGATAACCTGCTAAAAACAAAGCATTGAAAGTCCTTGCTAACTCAAATGCTCTGCGCCTCTTTATACGTCTGGCTAACTAGCAATACTACCATAAATATGAGGTCAGTTAGAATAACATTGCAGTTTAGCGTAGCTTTATTTATGCTTGCGGTATTATGCAAAAGTAAGGGGGTATTTAAGCTCTACTTATGTTTTTATTTTTTAATTTAGTGAAATAAAAAACTATTTACCAATTATATACATACAATTTTATATTTCAAGATGCTTGTCATTGTAAAACCGAATTCCAGCAGCTGGAATGTAGCTGACATAAGGCAGTATGAGTTGCAGAGTTATTGGGTTTTTCTTTATGTTTCTAAATTCCTGTATTATTTTAAATAATTCTTTCATTAGCCAGTATAAATTGAAAATGTGTTTGTTTTTTTCTTTAATTTTCTGCAATACTTGTATTTTTTTTTGCAGAATTCTTGTAAAATTAAGTAGAAATTCAAGTTTATTCTTGGCTTCATTGTATTAAAACAGTCAGTGATCCTCATAGCTGACTTTAATAGTGATATTTCCACAAACCAGAGTTGATCTCTTGCCACTAGGAGTTGTGGGTAGTCTGATTTGGTATGATGTAGTAGTAGGGACTTGTAAAAATTGGTGTTGCAGATTGCTTGGGTTCAAAAGGACGCAACTGTTCTCTGTTTCAGGTTGTATTTCTTGATTTGAGGAAATTAGTTCACTAGGGGGATTTGGAAACTGCCCAGGAATATAATCTTCTTCCTGTTGGCTACTATGGCGGCTTGGAACAGGACTGGCAGAGGCACATGAGTTTTCTCCTTGACTCTGTTGGTCACTGGTGTAGTGAATATTGGAGATTCCTGTGACGTTAGAGCTTGTCCTTCTACGCTGCAAGGAATGAGGGACATCTGATAATGAATCTTTCTTGCAAACTTTCCTCAATAGAATCTTTAAAGCTTTCTGAAATCGTCTGCTCAGTAAAGCATATAACAATGGGTTAAAATCAGAATTCAGTAATGTAAGCCAGTAGGCAGTAGTGAGTACAGGTGAGGAAATGGCAGTGGGCTGCTGCAAGGTTGTGGTTTCTATGGCCTGAATCATATTTATAATTACATAAGGAACCCAACAACATAGGAACACAGCTACCATAAATATAAGTCGAAGGCGCCCACAACGATCCCTTCCATAGAAATCATTTTCTGAAAACAAGTCTTTCTTTATGTGTTTTGGATTTAGCAAATCCGGATTAAAGCTACACACACTCTGGTTGTCACATGAATGTGCATCTGTTAGAAGTTTGCAGTTGACAATATAAATAAGCTGTGAGCATGTTGGCTTCTCCACTTCAGAAGTTTTCTTTCTGGGTGAATTTCTTTGCAGCTGGTTTTGTAAAATCCTAATTTGTTTTGCATGCACTATGGCTATAATGACTATCCTGATAAAACAGTAAATAAATATAGTTGTGGGAATGAAAAATGAAATGGTAGAAAAAAACATGGTATAGCTAGTACTGGTAGCCCAGTCTATGGTACATGTGTACTTTGAAGGAACATACACCAGCTTACTCCATCCTAATAAGGGAGGGCAACAGGTAATTGCAGCTTGAACCCAGATCCACGTGATAATACACAATGAGCGCTGAGTGGACCATGGCGTTTCATATTTCATACAGTCCACTATTGCCCAGTAGCGATCCAAGGACACTGCCACCACACTTAGTATTGATGCAGTGCAGTACACAGATGAGACATAACCCACAAACAAGCAAAGTTCCTGTAAAGGACAAGAGAATTGTAAACATCAATGAGAAAAATAATCAATGTTCTTGTAGAGAACAGAAGTATAAGAATTAATCACGTGATAACATTTTTACCCACCTAAAGAAATGTTCATTTCATATGTACCTAGAGGGGTGTTCTATCTAGGATAATCTGGTGTGAACCTGGTGTAATTTATTAAACAGTGCTGAACTCAATATACTAAAGTTTTTTTTGTTTTTTTTCCCTGTGAATACAACCATGTTCTCACCATAAAATGACAAAAACGTCATAGGAAAGTCAACTGAGCTCTGCTTCAAAACAGCAATACCTGCACTGGGACTGATCTCCAGCTGTCATTGTAGTGCCACCTACAATGACAGAGTTCTCTAACCTAGTGCACTGTGAAGTTATACCTGGGACATGTACAGGGTTTTTAGACATAGGGTAGGTTTTGAAGAGTTTTTTCCCCCGAACATATATTAGAGGGATTCCCTGCAGTGTTGCGTTCGTCTATGTTTGGGAAAATTTCCCAGAACATAGATGAACGCAGCAGAGCAAGGAATCCCTCTAATTCCCACAATGGCGCGCACTTACCACCCCCCGAGAGAGCTGGTTGTGCCAGCCGTCGTAAAAGAGGTAGGTCGCAAAATGAGGACCACCTGTATTAAAACACACAAAAAAGACCTTTTTTTCCCAGGGCTGCTTTGTATCCCCAGTCCGGCCCTGGTTACAACAAGATAGCTCAATAACAATTGCATGTTGTATTTTCCTATAATCAAAGCTACTAGACAAATAAACCTATGAACGCTGTGTGACTTACATTTATCTTGCTCCAGTCTTCATAGAGAAGGGACAAAGCTACAAAGGGCATTACACCCAGTCCTACTAGGCAGTCACTTATTGCTAAATTGATGATAAAAAGAGAAGTCATGGAATGATAACCTTTAGTAGCGGTAATGACGATAATGACCAATATATTCCCTGGAATTAAAAAAAAACAAAGTTACAAAAAATCATGCAAATATTACAACAGGGAACAAATTGTTAGATATAAACGCTAGTTCCTAGACTGAATTTGTTGCACGACATGCTGCTGAATTTTTGTTGTGTCTGTGTGGTGCTGGAGAGCAAATACAATTAGGTCTGGAAATTTTTGGACATTGACACAAATGTTATTGTTTCAGCTGTTTACTAAAATAAATTCAAGTTAAGTTAGGTATAATGAATACGGGTTTAAAGTGCAGTCTCCCAGCTTTAATTTTAGGGTATTCACATCCAAATTGGAGGAAGGGATTAGGAATTACAGCTCTTTAATATGTAACCCCCTCTTTTTCAAGGGACCAAAAGTAGTAAAGAGTTGTTTCATGGGCAGGTGTGGGCTATTCCTTCACTATTTCTTCATCAATTAAGCAGGTTAAAGGCCTGCAGTTGATTCCAGTTGTGGCATTTGCATTTGGAAACTGTTGCTGTGAACCCACTCTTTAAATGTACACTCCAGGTCCCCTCTCCCTCCCACCCCCTTCAATGACTTAACTGAGACCACCGCCGATGTCCCTCGACAGTGGTTTAGGGTCCACCCACACTCCTCCCCCGTCTACGTCAGCCGGCGGGGGAGACCGATTGCGCATGCGCGGCCGCCGGCGGGATGAGACCCAATGCGCATGCTTTCAATGCTTTCCTATGGTGATTTTAGTGACGCTGGAGGTCCTCACATAGCGTAAGGAAGTCCAGTGTCCAGTGCTATAGACCAGGAAGTGCCCTTTAGTGGCTGTCCAGCAGACAGCCACTAGAGGAGGAGTTAACCCTGCAATGTAAATATTGCAATTTATGAAAACTGCAATATTTACAGTTGCAGGGTTAAGGGTAGTGGGAGTTGGCACCCAGACCACTCCAATGGGCAGAAGTGGTGTGGCTGTCTGGAGTGTCCTTTTAATGCAATCCTTAGGATGTAAAAAAAAAATCCATCAGATGTACAGCACGAACAGAAGTTTAGTACAATCGGAGAAAAAAATGATGCTGTGCCTAGTTCTGCAATCTAAAAAGGCATTGACGTCCACAGAAAACAACAGTGGTGGATGATCGTAGAGTCCTATCCATAATAAAGAAAAAACCTTTACAACATTCAGTCAAGTGAAGAACAATCTCTAGGAGGTAGGGATATCATTATCCAAGTCACCATGAAGTGAAGACTTCTCGAGAGCAAATACAGAGGGTTCACCAAAAGATTTAAGCCATTCATAAGCATCACAAATAAAAAGACCAGATTAGACTTTGGTAAGGGGTAGGGGGGAAATTGAAAGGAGCTTTCTAATAGTACGTGGCTCCAGAAATTTATGATAGCATTACACGCGTCACAGGGTCTACAAAGTATGGTAATATGATTGGCTGCAGGACTGGAGTAAGTGAGCACGTGACGCGGAACTAGATTGCACGTCACGTGTTCGGTAAGGGTCCAATCAGGAGCAAGAGGCTGGGCCAGAAAAGAAACATCGACACCACGGCCAGCTCAGAAAAATTTAATGGCCAAACGTCTATAATAAAGACCATAAAGGCCATCTTATATAAAGACTGACTAATGTTTTTATATCTGTTTTTTTCCAATTATATTCTTATACTTTGCTGTGGTTTGGCACAACCTGCATTTTCTTCCTGTTTTGTCTGAACTTCGTATAAGGGGCAAAGGGGAATTCTCTTCTTTTTACAATGTTTGCCGCCTCATTTACCCATTGTTGACTGCTTAGTGCTTACCCATATTTGTATTTATACATAACTAAGGAACTATGAACGAAATCAGCACTGATGTGGAGATATGGCAAGGTTGTGGGAAAAATCAGAGAATAGGGAAATAGAAGTGAAAGTGGAGCCTTGGTACCACCACTACAACAGATCATTAAAAATTAGGCCAATTTTGCAACCTGATCAAATGATAAAGTTCTGCAGTATATTATTAAGCCGTGCAGCATTACCAACTGCAGCCTATGAAATTGTATTAAAAATTATCACAATGATAATCATACTCACAAGTACGGTATGTAATTAGTATTTATACGCCTTTATAATGTTAGGTAGCGGGACTAGACAACATTTGACCTCAAGTTGTTCTAGCTCTACAATTACAAGGATATTTCGCTAGCCAGCTAAGATAGTGACCGACTAAACCAGCTATGGATAAATGTTATTTAATCTAAGTAGAGTCAATTTTGCATGATGATGTACTCATTTCTTCTGGTACTGTAAAAGCTGATTAATAAAACCATGCAAACACATATAAATGTTTTGAAAATTTTAAGCTAAATTTGGTTAGTGGAGAATAACAACACATATATGGGAGGGCAGTTTGGTTGAGGTAATGGGCTCATCTACCAGATATGAGGATACATGCATACTCTTTGGTGAAGATCTACAACTGCATGCATTGTCTTGTACAATTCTATATAGCTTATATCCTAATATCTTAAATGAGCACTACCACCACAAATGAAAAAACATATATTAAATGCATTGTTTTGTTCTGTTATAATTATTATGATTATGATTTGTTCTGTTATAATTATTTTACAAGTTTGCATTTTGTGAAATTATATGCATGAATCATCCCCCTCCACCAGCAGTTCTTCCTTGCTGTGTGTCTGTTGCTATTTACTCTTGATAGAGCTGAACAATATGAAGGCACTCAGTGCTAGTTGCTTAGCAAATGATGAGAGCTAACCAGATGGCAGAGTTGAATATAGCTTGAAAGAGGAACAATTTAAAATGATACTATAGGGATCAAAACAATTTTAGCTTAAAGGAACACTGTCGTGTCAGGAATACAAAAATATAATATTGAAACTATAGCTCTAAGATTGCCGTTTAAGTGGCGGGCACCCCTGTCAGAAGCGTAAAAGGTGATTTATTTGCCTTTTTAATTTTTTAAATGTAATTCTTTATTTTTGTTGTGTATGGTTATAACAGACAGATTCACTATGCCCCAACAGCATCAGTGAATTTTGAGTTGCCTGATTACATCGCAATACAAGGCATATATGAGCGACTGCACATTTTTGGAGTAATATTTATACAAACATGGTAGTAGTCAGAAATGTCAGGTTATATGGTAAGTGTATAAGTACGTAGGTCCTGAGGAGGTGACTGATAAAAAAAAAACAAAAAAACTTATGTACGAGAAAGAATTCAGATAAACAAAATGCCGCGGTAGCCAATCGGCATCTCCAATTAATGCATCTCTATGGGGATGTTCAGCGTGTCCATGCATAGCGTGGAGATGCCGAATATCAGTCTACACATTGTGCAGCACTGACTCAGGGATTACATCTAGTGGCCATCTAGATGACGGTCGCTAGAGGTGTTCCTAGGCAGTAATGTTCTCTGAAAAGGCAGTGTGTATATTAAAAACCTGCAAGGACAGGCAGTAGACACCAGAACAACTACATTATTATTATTATCGCCATCTATATAGCGTCAACAGATTCCGTAGCGCTTTACAATATTATGAGAGGGGGGATTTAACAATAAATGTGCCAATTACAAGAAAACTTACAGGAAATGATAGGTTGAAGAGGACTCTGCTCAAACAAGTAAACAGTCTATAGAAGGTGGGGAATAAAACACATTAGGACAGGAAATAGCAATCAAATAAGGTGGGAGAGTGCTGCACTTCAGGAGAGAGCAAGAGACAGGTATGTGAGGTAGAGGTTAGTCTGGGAGCCATAAGCTTTCCTAAAGTGATGGGTTTTAAGGCACTTGTTAAATGATTGAAGACTAGGGGAGAATCTGATGGCAGTAGGCAGGCTATTCCATAGGAAGGGAGCCCCCCGCGAGAAGTCCTGCAAGCATGAGGGTGCGAGCAGCAGACAGGAGAAGGTCGCGGGCAGAACAGAGTGACCGAGAAGGGGCATACCTATGGCTCTGTGAAGAGATATAAGATGGGCTACAATCGTTCAGTGTTTTATAGGTATGGGTTAGCACTTTGAATTGACTCCTATATGATAAAGGAACCCAATGTAGGGATTGACAGAGGGGTGAGGTGTGAAAGGACCGACTAGAGAGGAAAATCAGTCTGGCGGCAGTATTCATTAAAGACTGTAGAGGGGCAATACAGCTTTTGTCAAGAGAGGGTTACAATAATCCATGCGGGAAATTACTAGAGCATGGACAAGGTTCTTGGTAGCATCTTGCGTAAGAAAGGGGCGGATGCGGGCTTTGTTTTTAAGATGGAATCTACAGGATTTGGCAACATACTGGATGTGAGGCTCAAAGGTGAGGCCAGAGTCAATTATGATGCCAAGACAGCGCGCTTGCTATGATGGACTTATGTGGATACCACTAACTTGAAGGGAGAGTGAAAGAGGAGGATCAGTATTAGGAGGAGGAAAGACAAAAAGCTCAGTTTTAGAGAGATTGAGTTTCAGAAAGCGGGAGGACATCCAGTCAGAGATAGAAGATAAGCAAGCAGTGACACGTTGCAGGACGGCAGGGAAGAGGTCCAGGGAGGAGAGATATATCTAGGTGTGATCAGCATACAGGTGGTAGTGGAATCCAAAAGAAGTAATAAGTTTGCCAAGAGAGGCAGTATAAAGAGAAAATAGAAGGGGACCAAGGACAGAGCCTTAGGAGACTCCAACCGAGACAGGACGAGGGGAGGAGGTATCATTAGAAAAGGAGACACTGAATGAGCATTGGGAGAGAGTCACAAAGACTGAGCGATTGAAGAGTTTGAAGAAGGAGAGCATGATCAATGGTGTCAAAGACAGCAGAGAGGTCAAGAAGAACTAGTATGGAGTAGTGGCCTTTGGATTTAGCTCCGAGTCAGCAGGGACAATGCCAGAAGAGAGAGAGCAGTTAAAGATGTTTGTTAAGGAAGGCACAGGACAAGGGGAGAGAGATCTGATAAGGCGACATGGGACAGGAACAAGCGTGCAAGTGGTGGAGTGAGAGGAAAGGAGAAGCGCAGCCACCTCTTGTTCAGTAGCCTGGAAGAT